CCACAATTTAAGAAGCATGTGGCCAAGCTGGAACGTGTGCAGAGGAGGGTGACCAAGATGATCATGGGTCTGAAAACCGAGCCTTAGGAGGAACTATTGAGGAAGCTGGGTATGTTAAGCCTGGAAAAGAGGTGACTGAGATGAGATATGATAGCTATCTTCAAATATCTCAAGGGCTATCCCATGGAAGATAGAGCAAGCCTGTTTTCTCTTACTTTGGAGTGTAGGACTAACATTCCAACTAAAAGTTAGGAAGAACTTTCTGACAGTAAGATCTGTTCGACAGTGGAATGGTCTCCCTCTGGAGGTTGTGGACTCTCCTTCCTTCGAGGTTTTTAAGCAGAAGTTGGATGGCCATCTGTCATGGATGCTTTAGCTGTGAATTCTATGAGTCTAAGCCCAGCCAGCATGGGCAAAGGTAAGAAATGACGGGAATTGCAGTCCCACCAACATTAGGAGGGCTCCAGTTTGTGGAAAGCTGGTTTAGTAGATGATTTGGTTTTGAATTTTCTTTTTTAAATAACAATCTTTTGATCAACTAAAATGTCTGATCCGCTAGACATCAGATAACTGAAGATAATGCAAAGTTGGTGGTTTGCAGGCAACTGCCTCCTTGCTTAGATCTGTCTTGAATCTCCTTCAGATTAGCTTTAATTACCTGACCCTGAGCATTCCAGGTGTTTGTGCGGGATGTGAAAGGGGATGCAGAACTAGCGAAGGGATCTGAGCAACCTAAAGAAGTAAGGAATGCTGAGGTGTGACAAGGGAAGGTTCTGTCGGCATGCAGAAGGCCGCAAGGCCAGCTGGCTAGGCCCAGCTGGGCTATCTCCTTCCAGCCGCCTCGCTGCGAAGACCCATCGGTCTCTGGTCCAGTGTAAATCAGCAACCTGGGCTTCAAAGCCAGGGCATACTATTTCAGCAGAGTGAACTGTGCACACAGGATAGGCGTGAGGCTTGTGGAAGCATACTACAACTACGGATTTATTAATCATAAATCAGGACAAAGAAACATGTTGTCCCTCTCTTTGTCTTCTCACAGACACAGAGAGAAAAGCAAAAGCTATACACACAACAGAAGTTCCCAGCAAGCTGTGCTGGTATGTAAACAGACATGTGACACGCAACAGTTTCATGTCTGCTCCTTAAGGTGGAATAGAAATCTCAACAGGTTCGAGAGGAAAAGGCTGTAGCAGTGAAGAAGGGAGTCAGCTAGACCAGTGTTTCCCAACCTTGGGCCTCCAGCTGTTTTTGAAACTACAATTCCCATCATCCCTAACCACTGGTCTTGCTAGCTAGGGATGATGGGAGTTGTAGTCCAAAAACAGCTGGAGGCCCAAGGTTGGGAAACACTGAGCTAGACCAAATTTTAGGCTGATTTCCACACCTCAATTATAATATAATAGGGAACCTGCCAGATGTGATAAGCTCTTTCATTTCCTAAGTGGCAGACAAAAGCACTTCCTTTTACCTCCTTCTCGCTCTCCTTTGATTCTTCTCAGCTTACCTAGGCATCAAGTTCAGCTTCAGCTGGTGGAAACTTCCATTTTTCAGATTCTGCTGTGGTGTGTCGTTCCTTGTCAAGGGCCTCTATAAATAGCCACCTGGTAATGGAGTCTGCTGAAATGGCCCTCGTGTTGGCAGAGGGACTTTGCAGGCACATCCAGGCTGCTTTCTGAGATGGCTATTGTAACTAAGATGCATTTGAGCCAGTTGGGAAGGAGATCAGCAAGAAGGCGAAGGTACAAGAGAGACCTGTGGCAAAATGTTGTAGCGTAGAGTTCACCATTTCAGCCACTCCATGCCTCCCTCCCTCCCAACAACAGCTCATCTGCACTATACATTTAAAGCAGTATCATGCCAGTTTAAACAGCCATGGCTTCCTCCGAAACGTCTGGGAACTGTAGTTTGTTAAGGGTGCTGAAAGTTGTAGGAGACCACTATTCCCCGCTCCCCCACAAAGCCACAATTCCCAGAATTCCCTGGGAAGAGCGGTTCCCTGGGAAGAGTTTATAAAGGTGTAAAGGTAAAGGGACCCCTGACCATTAGGTCCAGTCATGACCGACTCTGGGGTTGCGACGCTCATCTCGCTTTATTGGCCGAGGGAGCCGGCGTACAGCTTCCGGGTCATGTGCCCAGCATGACTAAGCCGCTTCTGGCGAACCAGAGCAGTGCACAGAAACGCCGTTTACCTTCCCGCCGGAGCGGTACCTATTTATCTACTTGCACTTTGACATGCTTTCGAACTGCTAGGTTGGCAGGAGCTAGGACCAAAGAACGGGAGCTCACCCCGTCGTGGGGATTTGAACTGCCCACGTTCTGATGGGCAAGCCCTAGGCTCTGTGGTTTAGACCACAGCGCCACCCGCGTCCCTTATAAAGGTGTCGGTGGTCCCTAATATACCCTGGGCTTAAATTATTCAGGGCTTTGCAAATTAATGCACAGATGGGATCCTGGTTTTCACTTTTATTCACAGCAGCCAGTCATCCAGCATTTCATGGCACACTCAATCTCCACTGGACCGTTCTTTCTTTCTTTCTTGCCTGTCACACTGAAGGGCAGATTCCTAGTAAAGTGTGACCGAACCTCAGGGGCCACACGGGGAACATCCAGAAAGGCTTCCTTAGAGGACCCCGGTGATTGAGGTGGAGCTTAGTCGGGCTGGCATTTAAGGTACGTTGGACCCAAGTTTAGATCGTAGAATTGTAAAGTTGGAAGGGACCTAGCGAGTCATCTAGTCCAACCCCCTGCAGTGCAGGGGTCTTTTGCCTAATATTGGGCTTGAACGCACAACTCTGAGATTAAGAGTCTCATGCTCTACCAACTGAACCATCCTGGGGATTAGGGCTTGTGAAGATGGCAGTCCCTCTTCCATATGCAGAATTCATCTGAACTAGCAGTTGAATCTTCTTTCCACCACTGGTGATGAGTCAACCACCACCACCGCTGCTGAGGGCAGCAGGCTAGCTTAGGAGGTGCAGCGAACTGGCTAATTCAGGGGACTTGGGGAAAATGAGAGGGGGAACTGCTTTAAGGCCCCTAACACCTGCTGCCTGAGGCAGCTGCCCCACTCTGCCTATTGTTAGGGGCCAACCCTTCAAGAAAATGATGTATTTGTTCCCAGAAGTGTAGAAACCGAGATACAGAGGATAGGTGTGAGTAGGCTTTGATCAAAATGCAGAAGGGTTTAATTAAGATGTAGGTAATGTCAAGTGGCTGAAAATAAACAGAACAGCTTTTTATAAATAGAGAGGATGAGATCGGAGCCAGGATGACAGATCTCATGAGTGATTTGGCACGGGAAGTTGAGGAATGCAGTTTTTAATGACATAAAAATGAAAGCCTTTTTGAAAGGAGCCTGCAAATTTCACTTTTTCTTTTTTCACTGCAAAGTCTGCTGGCATTGTCTGAGTCATCCTTGCTAGTAACAGGTGCCATCAAAGTCTTAATTGTTTTGGGGTGGTGTCACAGTATTGCATGTCTGCTCTCCCCAAGAATGATGAGTATTAAATTGGTACCTTGAGGGTTTGAGGCAGACAGTACCATGTTTGATCTTAATCTGTTGGCGGGCCTCTGTTGTTTCTCCACAATATGCACCCTCCCTCCCTCCCACCCTCCATCCCTCCCACCCTCCATCTAGCTGGCTTCTTAACATTTCTGGTTCAAATCATCCCGGTTTAGTTGGTGTTTTTGGTGAATTGGTGTTTCACTATCCAAGGCAGATTTTTTACTCCACTGGGAGTTTTGTTTCCTTTGTGTTTAAGAGCTGCCATTAACTTTCTCAATAGGAACCTGTGTGTGTGTGTGTGTGTGTGTGTGTGTGTGTGTTGAAATCCTAAGGGGGTGGAGATGTTACAGAAACCTCTCCCATGTGCTGAGGAGGCCCCAGGACCATACAGTCATCTCTTGCCTCCCACCATGCTCCTCTGATGTTCACTCGTTCAATGGACATCAGAAAGAAGTCTACTTACATACAGAATCTACCGTATTTTTCGCTCTATAAGACGCCACCAGAACACAAGACTAACTACGTTTTGGAGGAGGAAAACAAGAAAAAAAATATTCTGAATCTCAGAAACCAGAACAGCAAGAGGGATCGCTGCACAGTGAAAGCAGCAATCCCTCTGGCTGTTCTGGCTTCTGGGATAGCTGCACAGCCTGCATTCGCTCCATAAGACACACACACATTTCCCTTTACTTTTTAGGAGGGAAAAAGTGAGTCTTATAGAGCCAAAAATACGGTATATGTTAGCTGGCGCTCCAGGCCTTGACATTTGCTCCTCAAGGCTGCCTAAACCTATATGTGGTTGGGTTGACTTGGTTTAGACCCCACCCTGCCAAGTGTGGGGCAGGTAAGACCTGACTCCCTGCTGAAAGCAGAGTTTGCCGGCGCTACGAATTAGCTGATTGATGGCATACTACCAAACCCTGTGCTTTTGCTCATGCTGTTTGATTTCAGACCACAAAAGCAAAGGAAAGCAGATCACCTGCCATCATTGCGATATCAGGGGATTGGCAGGTGAGTGGTTCCACCTTCCTCTCAAAGTTGACCCAAGGAGGGTCAGCAGCAGGATCCAGTCACCTGCCCCAGTGTTTACCTCTTCCTTCACAGGAGGCCTGGAGGCTCCTCCTTTCGGGCAGAGATCTGGAGCCCAGCTTTTCTATCGGGGCCTTCTGTAAGAGTAACTGCTTTAGGACAAGATCATCTCCAAAAGGACACTCCCCTTCAGAGCCCCCTTCTGCCTCGTACTCTGGTTGGTTCTGGGGTGGGGGGGGTGGAGAAATGCAAATGAGTGAGAAATCAACACAGGGCCACCATTTTGACCTATAGGCCTTCATTGAGTCATAAAATGATATTTGGCCATAAGAAGCAACCTTCCCCGGTGTTCTTTAAAAGCTCTACAATGCATGGCAGATAATTTGCTTTGAACAGGGGCTGAATGGGAACAATGAACAGGGCCTCTAAGTTACATTTCCCGCAATTTATTTTCTGTTGCTTGCAGTGGTGGAATGCCGAGGAGGTGTGGTAGACAGCATGCAACGATTCACGAGCTTGCCGGTGTACCTCCCTGTGAGTTACCACATCTCCAACACCGACGTTTCCTTTTTCCTAAAAGAAACCAACCAGGATATCATGAGGAATGCTAGCTTGCAGTCTCGGGTGGAGTCGTTCCTTGTCTACAAAGCCACCAGCTTGCCGGTGTTAAATGTGACATACGGCCCATTTACTGTGGAGCAAACGGTGCCTCCGAACCTCCTGCTGACCTCCACTCTGTTCAGTTTTGCCAACGAGGTCGCTTTTAACTGGAAGCTAAGATCACGTGTTATTGACAGCTCCATCTATCCCATCAGGCCCAAAGTCCAGGCTTTGTTCTACATCGCTGGCAGAGACTGGGAAGACTATGAACCATCGGAGATCTTGCCCTGCGTGAGGATGATGGCCTTCCAGGAGGATAGAGTAGCTGTTGGCAGTTGTCGGTTGAAAGGTCAGCTGGGATTGTGCGTTGCAGAGCTGGAGTTCTCGCCAAGCTGGTTCAACTCTGCATTTACATCTCTGCCGCCACCATTGGCCCCAGAGTATCAACCGATGGCGGACTCTTTGGAAGGGATCACCGTGGAGCTTTTCTATTGGGTGTATGCAGAGGACGGGGAATGCTCTTCAGAGGACCAGAAACTTGAAAGCCTTCATCATCTGGAAGGGCAAGAGGAAGCACAGATGCCTTTGGCATCAATGGAGAGGATTGGCAGTGTTATTCTTTACCCAACGCAAGACCGGCTAAAGAAGTCCCTGCTGAATCTTGACGAAAACCTTGTGCTCTCTTTACCACTCAGTCCTGTCAAGGAAGGTGACCTTGTCATGTTTCATGTATCCCTTGCCAGCGGGTCTCTAGCAGATCAGTTTACACTAAGGTAAGTGTTGTGGTTTTTAAAAATGTTTTTCTCCCCTCAAAAGATATGTATGTGCTGTCATAAATCAACAGAGCAGAACCCACTTGGGTTGGCTGGCTCATCCTTTGTATCATCAAACACAGAGCTGGTTAGAAGGTAGGCTGTTGAGCCCTAATTCATTTCTGCAGCAAAATCCAGGTGTATTACATGCTGGATGGAGAAGACTCTGCTTCTGCTGTAGGTTTTTAGCACAGTGTCTTCGTCATCTTCCTGAAAGCTAACTGTGGATGTGTAATGTGTATGCACACAGGGGTCCACATAGATAGACTGTATGCCAAATTCATGGAGGAGAGGACTGCTGAGGGTTACTGACCATGACGGCTGTGATCTGCCTCCACAGTTGGAGGCAGTGATGCTTCTGAATGCTAGTTGCTGGAAGACACGGGAGGGGAGAGGGCCACAGTTCTCAGGTCCTACCTTGCAGGTTTCCCACTCACAGGCATCTGTGAGAGCAGGAAGCTTGGTCCAGCAGGCTGTTCTTATGCTCTTGCAGGTTCTGCACCCCAGTTTTAAAGCTGCTAATTATTTACCGAGCTAACTTCAAGGTGTTGGTTCTGGTGCACAAAGCCCTACACAGCTTGGGACCAGGATGTCTTGAAATGTTGTCTCACCCCTTGTGTATACTGTTGATCACTGCACTCTGCAGAAGACGGCCTCCTGCAGGTACCAGCTTCTCGGAGGTCTGTCCTTCTGATACAGAAATTGGGCTTTTAAGTGTGGTGGCATTGGCCATTTGGAAGCCCCTCCCATTGCGCATCAGATAGATGCTGCCTCTGTTATCTTTTCAGAACCTGTCAAAGGCGTCTCTCTTCCAACAAGCCTTTTAAGTTGAGATACTAGCCCTGAGGGCTATGCTCTGCTTCCACATTTGGAGGCTGCAGTGCTTCTGACCACCTTTGCTGGAAACTCTAGGAGGGGAGAGACCTTCTCTTGTGCTCTCTTTGTGGCCTCCCCTCTGAGGCATCTGATTGGCCACAGGATGCTGGTCGAGATGGGTCGAGTCCAGCAGGACTTCTTTTGTTTGTTTGAGATCTTTACCCCAGTCTGTATCTACATTGTACTTGAAATTGTTTTTGTGTTTTTTTGTATATAATAATATAATTGTATAATAACAATTAATTATTTGTACTCCACCCATCTGACTGGGCTGCCCCAAGCACAATTGTTTTTATATATGGAATCATCTTAATTGTTTTTTTGGTCGGCGTCTTTTACTGTGAAATCACTTCTGAGATATTTTATGGGAAGTGATTCATAAATGGAATCTAATGAACAAATAAAGCGCAGAGACCAGCCACAACAGCAGTGTGGATAGTAATGTGGATACTCTCCTATGGCTAAGTTAATTAACACCTGCACTAACGAGACAGGGAACCACTATTGTGATTCAGGCCAGATATCTTTACTTGCTCATCAAGGAATGTGCCAAGCATTCTGAACCTGAGAACATTTAAATTTTCTTAAAGAATATCTAGCCTGTATCATTTACATCGCCTTCTTTTTTTTGCTGTACCCTTAACTGTCAGCATCTCAGATCAGAGCTGTGTAATCTCAGAAAGAAGCTGGAGCTCAACTTCTGGGGAATAAAAGGCCGAGAGGTAATTGGAAAGTGTTGCATGCTGAGAAGAGCGTTAAGACACCAGAAAAGGAAGGAGTTATAACTGGCAACTTCAAGAGAGACATGCTGTGCCTACTTTTAACATGGATCTCAAAAGGCAGCAAGAGCGATGGAATTTTATTTATTTCATCCTTGAATCGCCTCTCCACTGAAAGAGGAGACCAAGGGAATGTACAGTTAAACACCCCCCTACAAAAGAATATATTACTATCAGAGGTGCACCCAACCCTTGCTGGGGCACAGGCCCAGAGGGATGCAACCCCCCCCCTAGAAATCTGTCTCTAGTTATCTGTGTAAGGTCCTAAGTTTAGACAAGAGTTGGGAGCTGGCCAGTTGGAGAAATGGCAAAGTGGGATGGTGGTAGACTGCTGGAGACTATGGGTGCGTGACGTAGGTGTGTATGGTGACACACTGGCACTATTGCAATGAGAAGTTTGTTTTTCAGGGGTGTGTGCTGATATACCTCCCTGCCAAGGGGGCAAGAGACCCTGGGTATGGCTGTGATTATTATTGTTATTATGTTAAGCATATATTTTTTTTGCAAATGTAAGAATAAAGAATGAAACAATAACAGCTCATATGAACAATAATACTCCATCAGTCCTAATTCTTTTTTTTCTTCCAAAAATTTTATTCATTTTATAACACAAATAAACAACACAAACAAAAAACAAACAGTACGAACAATTTCTTGTCTTGTCCTTATTTTTTCTAAACATTGTTGGGTGGGCTTCCCCAAGTCCCCCCCTATCTGATTTTCATTTTACCTCATCTTTAGCAGTTTACATATATCATAATTTCTAACCATTTTTTTAAATTCATGCTTACATTAACCATAAGAATCTTCACATTGTATCACTTACAAATATTTTAAAATTCACTATCTTCTACTTCTAACCCTAAAGCCTATATCCACTTCCAAAGCTATTCTAAGATTTAAATATTAACATATTTTTTCAAATATTCCTTAAATTTCTTCCAATCTTCTTCCACTGTCTCTTCTCTCTGATCTCGGAGTCTCCCCGTCAGTTCAGCAAGTTCCATCATCTTCATCTGCCATTCTTTGATAGCTGGTAAATCTTTTTTCTTCCAATTCTTCGCTAGTAATATTCTCGCAGCTGTTGTGGCATACAGAAAAAAAGTAACATCCTTTTTGGGGATTTCACCCCCCTCTATACCAAGTAAAAATGCTTCTGGTTCCTTAATAAATGTGTTTTCCAACACTTTTTTCAGTTCATTATAAATCCTTTCCCAGAAGTACCTTGGGGTACATCCACCACATCCATCAGTCCTAATTCAGGCCCATCTGAACAATACCATTAAAGCTGTATCATATAACTCAAAAGAGCCATGGCTTCCCCTAAAGAATTCCCCTCCCAGAGCTACACTTCCCAGAGTTTCCTGGGAAGGAGAATTTATTGTTAAACCACTCTTGAAATCGTAGCTCTTTATGAAGAATAGTCTCCTAACAACTCTCAGCGCATCCACATTTAAAGCACTCTTATACCACTGAAACAATCATGGCTTCCCCAAGGAATCCTGGGAACTGTGGTTTGTAAAGGGTGTGGAGAGTTCTTGGGAGACCCTCCACTGCTCCCTTCACAGAGCTGCAGTTATTGGAGTGGTTTAGTAACCAATCCCTCTTCCCATGGAATTGTAGCTCTGCTATGGGAATAGGGGTCTCCAAATATCGCCTAACATAATGTGACAGACTGGATTAGAAAAATGGGGGGGGGGGCAGGAGACCAGGGTTCTGTGTGACAGCAGCCAATGCTCACCTCCAAGTAAGATTTCATGATGATGTTCTCTGTCTAGTAAGGCTTGCAGCCAAGACATTATGGGAGCCCTTTCCTTATGCTACCACCTGCCAGTGCGGTATAGTGGTTAAGAGCAATAGTCTTGTAATCGGGGGAACCGGGTTTGATTCCCTGCTCCTCCACATGCAGCTGCTGTGGGCTAGTCACACTTCTCTGAAGTCTCTCAGCCCCCACTCTCCTCATAGAGTGTTTGTTGTGGGGGAGGAAGGGAAAGGAGAATGTTAGCCGCTTTGAGACTCCTTCGGGTAGTGATAAAGCGGGATATCAAATCCAAACTCTTCTCTTCTTCTTCTTATTTTACTGTTCCCATACAGCTTCATTGCCATCCATTTTATCCTCTGCTCTCTGCTCTACCCCCTCCAAGGAAATGGAGCCTAGGGCTTGTGTCAGGCACTGGACACCCACTAGTCAAGGTTCACATCCTGCAAGGAGCCCACTGCTGATCCCCGGGGCTTCCTACTCCTGTACTTTGCTGACACTCTCTCTTCACTTCCACTCTCCAAGCAGGCAAGCAGTGTGGCAAGAGTGAGGAAGCAGAGCAGTATCCTCTGCTTGCCTTGTGCCTCCCTGCTATGGCCAGCTGTGTGTTTGGGCCTGGAGAAGGCAAACGAATGAGTAGTGAGGACAGTGTTTTTGGAACTGCTGACCACTGACCCCATGTGGTGAGCCACGTTACTGCAGCTCCTCATTTAAGAGTCAGGAGCTGCTGTCCACTGCCCCGTGTGGTGAGCCTGCGGCATTACAGCTTCTCAGGGAAAAAACTTCTGTGCTCTGGCTCTCCTGGACAGGAAATAGTATAAGAGGGCTTTTGGGGGCACAGAGTCCCCTGTCTCATTTGGCCCCCAATTTGTCCCGTATTTGAGGTTATAAAAATAAAAACTGGCATTTGTGTGCTCACCCAAACTTGCTTGTCTTGTGCACAACCAAAATTACCCCGAAGGCGGATGAGATTGCTGCCCTTTGCCAAGAGGCCTTTGGACTGGGTGGGATACAGCTCTGGATAACTAAGCACCCTCTACAAGGTTTTTAAATGTCATCTAGTCTTATAGGGAGAATTTATTCACCGCACAGTTTACAACATTTAGCACAGAATTACACAACAGGAAATAAAGATCACGGCAACTCCGACATCTAATTTATACAAGTTTCCTCACGGGCTCTCCTTATTTTTTCAGTCGATTAGTAATGTCCATAAAGACCCAGGAGGTATTTTATATATAGAATTTTTCTGTCTTTCAGTCAGATATATATGCAGGAGTATGTTTGCCTTGGGAGATAGGGTATTCTTTTTCCCCTACTTTCCCAAGTATAACTGATTGCTTTTAATCATGTCTGTGTGTCAGCAGAGTGTAATGTGTTCCATTTCAGGCAACACGGGGTTATAGATCAAAATGGCATTCAGTTTTCTCTCTCACTCTGGTGGCAAATAGACACAATCTACATATTTGTATAGGGGCTCATTTTGCAGCGTTGCCTTGAAGGTCAGGGCTGTAGTCAGTGCATAGACCCAAATCTATGGGGCCAGGTTCCCTTTGCCCCCCTTAAAATATTGAGGGGGGTTACCCCATACTTTATTCAAGTTGGCACCTTCCTTCCTCCCTCCTTCCCTGGGG